TTGTTTAGTTTGTTAGTGAGAAAATTCGTAGAAAATGTAGAAAATGTAGAAAATGTAATTAAATCATGCAACTAAACTATTTAAGCTTTTGAAACTTAAGAATATTTTGGTTCCATAATAGTATTATTCGTCTTAATCGTGGTCGTGGGTTTAAATATCGGTCGGCGATATCTTTCCATTATAGTTCCATTGACCAAGCTGTAAATGGGTACGTATAATGCGGAAATGATCAATGTCAAGGGCTAGCTAATAGGCAGGATCCTTGAGAATCGAAGTTGTTGTAAAAAATTGTGGTTTCATATTTTCTTATTATCTTTTTAAATCCGGGTAATAAGCTGATGAGATGAATATTGAATATTAAAAATTCTGATACATGGAATCAAAACTAAAAACAGGTTGTAAGAGGCTTACTTTTAAAGTGCAGTTTGCACCAGCGTAAATAATTCTTCATTTGGTTCGGATTGAAGATGTAGACTTACCGAATCAAGACGATGCACTTAATCCAAAACGGTGTAAAATAAAAGTAATAAGCTATGAAGATGACGAAAAAATCACACATTTTAGATATATGGTCACGTTTCATGACAAATATTTATTTCAGTGGTATTAAATAGTGTATTTCAAACCTGGGGTCGTAGGTCAGGACCTATAAACCTATACAACATGCTGTAAAAACATTTTTTGATCACAAAGGATTATTCATTTACTTTTTTAAAAAGCTAAAACAAAGTATATATAGAAGTATATCAAAAGCACATTTACAAGCGATTTATTTATTTCTGTCGACGACAGTGTGAACTGGTCTTTATCTTAAAATAGAAATAAATGTACAATATTAATACAATGTAAAATATCATAAATTAAGTACCATATTTTTATCCCTGAATTCTCTTTAATAGAAGAAATAGCAAATTGATATAGAGGAGACGGAACAGATATTATCTTATTAAAACTAAAAATTAGACCAATAACACAATTTAATATAAATAGTTGGGAAGTTGGTAACAATCTGATTTTCTTCATTCGTTCGTTCATTCCTTCATCCTTTCGTTCGTTCGTTCGTTCGTTCTTTCGTTCGCATGTTCGTTCGTTCGTTCGTTCGTTCGTTCGCTCGTTCGTTCATTCATTCATTCATACATTCATTCATTCCACATAGTTCAGGATACAACTGTGAATGTGTACTGGATGGCACCGTTATAAACATTATCTAAATTGTGACCCGAACGAAATATGGAAACAATTAAATGCCATATGGACATATTGTTTTTATAAATACAATTCCATTCATAACCTGCTGATATCACATACTGGGTAGTTGTTGGTAATCGCGATAGTTGGTAGTAGGATTGCATGGAAAGATTGGTTGAATTTGTTGGTAGATGACAAGTTAACCCGCGCTTCCAGCTAATTGATATCACAGACTGGACTAGGTAGTTGTTGGTAGTTGGTTGTTGAATCTGTATCAATTGGATATCAAGGTCGGTTGGTTGGTGATGACATGTTAACCCACGCTTCCATCTAACTGATTTCGTAGACACTGGCCAACTGTGTATTAATAATGGTATTATTTCTGTAATGATGCCAGTTAAACTATAAAAAAAAACTGACAATGATTTGTTGCCTGTCGACAGTTTAGTGTAATTAATTTAACAGTGGAATTAAAGCCGTCTTCACACTTAGCCAGATTAATCTATATCGAACTTAATAAATTGATATAAATAAAGCCAATAAGTTCTAATCTATTCTATGACATGTAGAAATAAGAGATAATTGAAAACTAGCAGACATCAAAGAGTGTATATCATTTTCAGTGGTGCCGCTAGCCCCACTGGGGGTTCAAATAGGGGGCAGGTTGACTTAATGGAGGCAGGGTGATAATTGTCAAGGTTGAATTCAAAATGAGGCAGCTCTGTGGAGGCACCATAAGCGCAAATCGCCCATTAAGGGTCTGAGGGCCTTAGGAAAAATAGAATTGATTTAATGCACTCTGACATATATACTTTAAGGTAAAAACTTGGAAGAGTATATCCCACCGGAGCTACCACTACACATTCTCAGTTCAGACTGTGGTAAACAAAAAAGAAAAATCCCAGAAAGGTAAAACTAAAGAGAGCAGATTTCATTATAAGAGTACACCTAAAATGATGGCTTTCACAAAACGATTTGACCTAATTAAATTGAAATATGGGTCATTGTGTCACTCAAGTTAATATTACCAATAATCACGATGATCTATTTCCGTCAGTTCTATTTATTTGAGACTTTGTTCTGGTTGAACTTTGTTGGTTTAATTCACTTTAATCCCAATCTCACTACTCCTTCCCTTAGTCCTAAGCAAAGCTTATATCTTCATTGTAAATTTATTTCATTTCATTTTATTAATATAGTTGTCCTTCGAGTAAACATGCCCTGTTTCTCGTATCATGACGATGGTTATAGGTATAAAGCGCTTATTGTTTCTGCGAACGCTTGACTTCGCCGTTTTAAATAATCTAACCTCACTCAGTTTACCGACTCGTAAGCCCTAACTTTGAATGAATTGCGTATAGGATGAATACTTCTTTGTTTGCTCGATGTGATGGGAGACTCTTCTTTACAATTTTTTAGTATATTCTAACAAATTACGAACACTTTTTTTATACTGATTCTATGGAGATGAGTTATTGTAAGAACTTGTGCAGACCTTGCAAAATGACACACACTTCTTAGTCATTGTTTAGTTCACACTCTTCTGACAAAAAAATGCATTACGGAAATATTCAAATTGAAAAACAGCTGAACGTTTGTTAACGTTTTTACGTCAATGGCAGCTTGTTTACAATAGAATATCAATGAATAAAATATTAAAAATCGATTATCGATTTATAAACACCTTGAAGTATTATGTCATTTTTGAATATGAATAAAGCTCATTGATCTCATTCTTTATTCAGTTATAAATTCTTTAGAAATATGGATGTAAAACTCTAATTCATTTTTATATATATTCAAGGCTAGGCTAGTTAGTGCGAGAGAACCTACTTTTCTTTTCAATAATTCAGAAATCTAGTTGAAATCTTTGGAAATTATATATCATATACTTAATTAATAGAAATGTTATCACTCTATAATTGATGTATCGATCACTATTTTAACACTGGTATTTCTATATCACTCTATAATTGATGTGTTGAGTACTATTTTAACAGTGGTATTTCTATATCACTCTATAATTGATGAATTGAGCACTATTTTAACAGTGGTATTTCTATATCACTCTATAATTGATGTATTGAGCACTATTTTAACAGTGGTATTTCTATATCACTCTATAATTGATGTATTGAGCACTATTTTAACAGTGGTATTTTTATATCGCTCTACAATTGGTGTATTGAGAAGTATTTTAACAGTGGTATTTCTATATCGCTCTACAATTGATGTATCGATCACTATTTTAACAGTGGTATTTCTATATCGCTCTACAATTGATGTATCGATCACTATTTTAACAGTGGTATTTCTATATCGCTCTACAATTGATGTATTGAGCACTATTTTAACAGTAATATTTCTATATTGCTCTACAATTGATGTATTGAGCACTATTTTAACAGTGGTATTTCTATATCGCTCTACAATTGATGTATTGAGCACTATTATAACAGTGGCATTTCTATATCGCTCTACAATTAATGAATTCAGCACTATTTGAACAGTGGTATTTCTATATCGCTCTACAATTGATGTATTGAGCACTATTTTAACGGTGGTATTTCTATATCGTTCTACAATTGATGTATTGAGCACTATTTTAACAGTAATATTTCTATACTGCTCTACAATTGATGTATTGAGCACTATTTTAACAGTGGTATTTCTATATCGCTCTACAATTGATGTATTGAGCACTATTATAACAGTGGCATTTCTAAATCGCTCTACAATTGATGTATTGAGCACTATTTTAACAGTGGTATTTCTATATCGCTCTACAATTAATGAATTCAGCACTATTTAAAACAGTGGTATTTCTATATCGCTCTACAATTGATGTATTGAGTACTATTTTAACAGTGAAAATATTTTATTATCTATAAATAATCTATATATCATTGATTAGATTACGACAAGACCATTTTTTACAGTTATTTACTAAATAATGTTATCAGAGATAGTGAAATGTTTCGACACCATGACATATTTCAAACGAGATGATATTTCACTAGTTTCTTATCGTTGGTAATTTAAAATACATTTGAGTTTATTGACCTACTTGTATTGTATTATTTGATTTTACTTGTTACTTTAACTGTTATAAATCATCTTGGTTACGAGACGGCTGGGTTGTTGTGCCAGCTAGTCCCTCAAGAACTATTAAAAAAAATTACGTAAATATAGTGGCAAAATGATAGTTTATAATAATTATTAGGTAAAGGATGGGTTGTTGTGTCATTTTGTCCCTCAAGAACTATTAAAAAGTGACCGAGGCATTGTAGAAAAAATGATGCGTTTATTTCTAGCTGACGGTTAGATTGTTTGCCTGTCTGTTTGACAAAAACTATGCAAAAAGAGACATAGATATTTCGGCAGGAATAAGAGTTTTACATCCTACTAGTCTGCAGCTTATTGGACTGATAGACGGATATTTGTTTCCGGTAAAAGAATGCCACCTTCTAAATATTGTTTTAAGCAATTACGATTTAAAGGGATTGTAAAGAGGTTTTCTAGATTTGTTATGTATATAAGGGACACTGATTGCATCAATTTCTACCATTCCAATTTTCAATCAAGCGTCTGTAGTTCCTGCAATTATACTAAAACTAAGTGTTTGATGACATCACTGATCGTAAAATATGCTGCCATCACATAAAACCCTTCGTGATTAGTGATGTCAAATACTCGGGGCGCAGGCCCATAAAATCTACAGAATGTGAATGTAAAATGAGCTCTGCTGTCTTCCACATTCCAATTCTATATTTCCTCTGAAGTTGTAAGCATTGATCGAAACCCTAGTAAACATGTCTTCAGAATGGATCATAAACTTTAATAGTTTAGTCCAGAAAACATCTCAAGTCTTCGCTAGATATTTCTATTATCATTGTATTTGATCATTATATTGTGAAGTGTCATGAAGAGTAAACAAAGTTTTATTTGTCAAGGGCAATAACTATAATTATAAGTTTATTAGGTAAATATCTATTGAATAAGAGAGGCACATACCAAAACGTGAACGAAAGACATAAAAACAGATAAGTCGTATTACATCAGTATTCTCTACAGATTTTGCGTCAATCACCTACCAACCGATAAATAAGCTAAGTACTAAAGAAGCTTCGAGTTAAGGCATAGTATTTCGAAATGCTCAGTTCTTCAAAAGATGATTTCACAGAAGTCTATATTTTTCATTTTAGACATTTGGAAATGGTAGCGTGGCCCAGGTTGTGTTAAGTAAAGGAACAGCTGGAGGTCCGGAGACTATTTATTGGAGCTGGGGTTTGGGTGTGACCATGGGGGTTTATGTCGCTGGTGGTATTTCAGGTAAGTAGCTTGACCGAAGTATCTCAGTACTGTAAGCTACGTGTTAAACTACTAGTTCTTGACGGCTCTAATTGCAATCCAATCAATCCACAACTTCCTTGAAACAAGAAAGTGCCTTATAATGTCAAGGTACTAGACTGAGTTCGAGAAAGAAGAAAGGTTGCTATTGCAGTTAAGGTATTAGACGCAGTTCCATTTCGATTTTCTGTTTCAGGGGCTCATTTAAATCCTGCAGTGACACTCACTATGGCTTGTTTGAAGAAGACATCGTGGAAGAGAGTGCCTTTTTACATGTTGGCTCAATATTTGGGGGCTTTTATAGCTTCTGTTATGGTGTTTGTAGTATATTTAGGTAAGATTTGGCATCTGAAGATCCCGGATGCATTATTGTTTTGTAAGTATAAGCAACTACTGTTCAAATTTTTTAAGTTTCACATTGATATCAACTGTTCGAAGTGGAATGGATAAATCTGTCCAATCGAAAAACATGTACATACAAAAGCTTTTTTGAAAAATCAACATATCTAACGAGGTTTATATTCAATATAATGTACATAAATTAAAAAGCTAATCTGACTATATATTTCTGCAGATTCTATCAATAATTATGATGGTGGTATTCGAGCGGTGATCGGTGATAAATCCACAGCTGGTATCTGGTCAACCTACCCACAGTCTCACCTTTCAACTATCAATGGTTTTGGCGATCAGGTAAGTTGAAATATGTGAATACTATAATTTTAAATAAACGAAGAAGAAACGAAATGAAATGGAGTTTTACGACCTTCTTTTCTGCGCCTATATGGCTAATGGAAACAGGAACGCCATGCATTGTACAATACGGTAAATTTTGCAAGTACAGTAGCATGAGGCAGATTTTTGTTCCACTGTTGAAGGACTCTGCGAGTGCTGATAGTTTCATAATTTCAATTGTTCGCTGAGTGCATAATGGACGTTGTGACGTCAATGGAAGTCGATATTTTAACTGATATTCTGGATATAGTGACGTCATAGATATTGCATCATACATCAGAATTGTATGATTCCTGAAAACCGCTCGATGTTCGTATTAACCGTGTTATATATCGCCGGAATGACTAACCTGGAGACAATATCTACATGGACTGTAATATTTGTAGTGTAAATATCAGACCTTCCCTCTAGACATCTCAAACATTAAAGGGAAGAGTTTTTTTTACTCTTGATGAGCAACAAGAACACTGATAGCCTCTATTGCTATTTACATCATCCAAATTTCAATCAGATGTCTGTGGTTCCTGATACTCCACTAAAACTAAGCGTTTTATGACGTCACTAACGTAAAGGCCCTCAGAAGTTATAAACACTTTTGTGGTAGTGAAGCTTAGTTTTGGCAGAATTGAAAGAACCAATGACTGAAAATTAGAATGGTGAAAATTGATACTATCAGTGTCCCTTATACATATAAAAAGTTAATAAAATCCCTTTAACAATCCCTTTCAGCCACATCACTGACATTTCTCCGGTTGACATTTTCATTGATATTTGCCTTCTGCCGACCTTTTTGTGTTAATTTGTTTTCTGGCTGTGAGCAATGAGTGCAAATTCGGTATGAATCCAGCTTTTCCGTCGTATTAGTTTATTGGTTTAAATGAAATGAAATGAAATGAATGGAGTTTAGGTTCTACTTTTCTGCACCGTCTGGGCTTATGCAGACGGGCAACGCCGTGTAGGGTGCAATGAGAGAAAACTTTCCAGGACAGCAGCATTAGCCTGCTCTTTTTCGATTTCCAACTGTCGAGGAATCTTAAACGTGCACCGTAACGAGGCCTCGGTTAATTACCCCATCTTAACGACTAGATTCTACTTCAATTTTTCAGATATTTTATCTGCAAAATTTTTGGCATTTTATGTTATTTATACTTACAAGTACTATATTGTACAATAATGCAGATTGTTATCTAAATTGGGTAGCTCAAATTTTTATACAAAGCCTAACAAACACAACCACTTTATATTGAGATATCCTCGATGGTTTTACTTCTCAGAAACTATGAAAACCTCTTTTTCACTTTCTCAGATATTTGGTACAGCGTTGCTATTAATTTGTGTTCTGGCGGTAACTGATAGAAAGAATATGAAACCTGATTCAGGACTGGTTCCATTGAGTATAGGTTTAATAGTCGTGGTGATTGGAATGACTTTTGGTTACAACTGTGGGTATGCCATCAACCCAGCTCGAGATCTTGGTCCCAGAATATTTACCGCCATTGCAGGCTGGGGTGAAGAACCTTTTAGGTGAGTCGCCAACATTTCAATGGACATTTTAGCACGATCTATCTTGAAAAATCCCGGTAGTGCAAAAAGTTGTCACACACGAAGAAATCAGTGGCGTTTCTAGATAATATTAGGTTAGGGTTCGACCACATGCCACAAATTGTAGAGCGGTGGGGGTGGATGGAGGTGGGGGCTCATGCAAGTCTTTCGCTAGGTAAAATGAGAAATAATTTGAAATTAGGGGTGGGCACAGCCGAGCCCCTCTTTTTTAGTCGCTCCTTTTATATATTTTCATGAAGTTTACCTTGGTGAAAATAAACTGATTGTGCTGTTTTCTTATATTTCAGTTTTAGAAATTATAATTGGTTTTGGGTGCCAGTGATAGGATCTCATATAGGAGCTCTAGTAGGGGCTGCTATTTATCAACTGTGTGTAGGGCTTCACTGGCCCTTAGACCAGAACGATGAGATACTTAAAATACCAAATAACGTGTACGGTAAGGTTGGATTCTTGGGTTTCGTGAATCATTTTAATAACTCGTGATAATGAGACCTTCGCCCTAGCGTCCTTTTTTGGACTTTAGTTTAGTAAGTTACAGAAAGTATTCCCAATATTTCAATAGCATCCATGTATTTCTTCTTTAATAGCATAATATTGTGATTTTTTTTTACATTTTGAACAATTTGCATCTAACTATAAATACTTTTATGCACATTACTAAATGAGTTTCTGCAATTTCTTTATTTTTATAATTGCTACTCTATGAATCGAAATTGGTGATATGTGGTTCAATAGCGTGGAAAGTCGAGAATACATAAGGAATAATTGATTAATTCAAATTAGCGTTATGATAAAAAATTTGGTTACCGGTACTCTTACCCAGAATTGTGGAAGCTCATCTGACCCAATTTCGATTGATTTCATTGCAAATCTGCCAAACTTCTAATGATTTTGCCGTGTGGTTATTTCGTAGTTATGTTTTTATATATAAAAATTTAAGAAATTTGAAATTTCTAATGAAGCTTATTAACATTTTCAAGATAAATAGTTCAGTTTTTTATGTTTTTTTAACAAAATTTATCCTTCAATTAAAATAACAAGTTTAGTGAATATTTCTTTTGCATTTATTTATTTATTTATTTATTTATTTATTTATTTATTTATTTATTTATTTATTTTTTTATTTATTTATTTATTTATTTATTTATTTATTTATTTATTTATTTATTTATTTATTTATTTATTTATTTATTTATTTATTTATTTATTTATTTATTTAATTATTTATTTATTTATTTATTTATTTAATTATTTATTTATTTATTTATTTATTTATTTATTTATTTATTTATTTATTTATTTATTTTACTATTTTTTTATTATTTTATTTTTATTTTTTTTTTATTTCATTTATTTATTTTTTTTTTCATT